GGTGCCGGGCCAATACACTGAAGAGGTGCAGGGGAAGAAGGAGTTGTTCCATTGCATAGCGGCTAAGGACGGGGGACCAAACGCTACCGTGTCCTTCAAAGATCTCATTCCATCAAACTTCAAATGTTTTGGAGATATGACGAGGCGAGAGAAGAAAATTGCATTGCGGTTGATGATAGATAAGAAGGTCATCGCCACTACCCGACTGGTTTCTCCAGGGAAGTTGAACATGAGCAACCTCCTCGACATCATGCAGTGGGAAAGATATATGATGCGTCTGTTCAACTACATCGTCTTCAAATCGGAAAACAAAGAGGGGAAAGAATGGAAGGACGGGAACTTCATCGACTACGAAGGGTTGGAGAAAAGGTTCGGTGTGAAGGCAGCCGAATGGGATGAGGAGAGGGATAAAATCCCTTTGGAATATGTCAGGAGGGTTCCTAAAAGACTCGGCGGAGAGCAAGAGGAAAAAGGCGTGAAAGGAGCTGGCCTGAACGCCACCGCTGCGTTGTATAGGGACGCACCTTTCCACTTCAAGTACTTCGTGTACCATGCGATTGGGAGAGTGGACTTGCTGACAACAGAGTTGCGGCGGTTGAAGAACGCTGCCCTTAATCTTAGCTGGGAGAAGAAACAGCGACGGTCGACATTGCTACCGGTCAACATGCAACCGAAGGACTTGCTGCCTGCAGGCGACGAAATTGTGACTGCGGCCACGAACTTGAATTGCAAGGCAGCCATCCTGGATCTCGCCAACCCGAAGAACTGCCTTGTATGGACGCCAGCCGATTTCGATGGTCTGCGCAAAATGATGACGAAATTGTGCAGTAATAATTGGATTCTGATTGTATTTGCTCCACAAAAACAGCACAAGGCCGTCATGAAGCAACTTTACAACTGGGACGATGCAGAGGTCCTACTCGGGACTTGGAAGCGTTATCTCGGGTTCGGAACGGCTGTCAGCAAGTATGGAAACTGGCAAGTCGATTATAAGGACACGATGGCGGTCGTCCTGCATGCTGAGGGGGGCGACCTTAGTAAGGTAGCGAGGGCTCCTAAATCGGAGGCAGAGATAGTGGAGCTGACCGTTGATGAGGAGCAATTCAAGTGATGCACAGCAAAGCACGGTGGCGGGGAAGGAAACGAACGAGAGGTGTATGGGCGGTGGGAACGACATCCTAAACGGTTGCAGAAGTTGTGGAGTTCGTTTCAGCACGAGGACCAGGGGGTGATTCTTATTGGAAAGTCGCATGCCGGACTTGTGTGGGAGCTCCTGCGCGCTGGCCATCATGTTTTCGCATGCGACTCGTCGTCAAAAGACATTTCATACTTGACGAAGGTCATCGAAATTCTCGGGAAGGATGCGAGAAACGAATGCACCGTTGAGAGACAGAAGACTGCGCAGCGTCCTGACAGGGATATGTACCACAAGCTGGGCAAAAAGAGAAACAAGATGTGAGAATATTTGTTCCAAGGCCAACCCAAGACGCCATTCGAGCATGACTACATAGTTCGCAAAGCGATGGCACAGGAAGCGTAGAGTGGCTACCATAAAGCGCAAGTGGGGTCCTTTGCGATGTTCGTAGCAAGATGCGAACGAATGAAGTTCGGAGGAAATCAGACAATGCTGACGTACGATGGATACAGCAAGATTGCCAAAAAATATGATGCGTGGAATCCGATCGAGAGCGATGAGGAGACTGAAACCTCAGACCTCGAAATCGAGGAGCGAGTGAAACGTATGCGAGAGGGAATGGAAAGCGTGCCTGCATGCAACGCGCCAAGCCTCCAGGAAGAAGAAGTTCGCACGAAATCGGCGGGTGCGAGCAGTCCAACGCGTGACGTGACCGACAGGGCGAGTTCCATTGAACATATGCAAACGGATTCGCTTACGCCAATTCAAGCACTTGAGAATGTACTGATTCATGACAATCGTCAAGGGTTCCGGGAAAAGGCTCAATCTCGAGGAAACCCGGTCAACGAAATGCGGCCAGATGATGACGAGGATGACTTTACGGTTCCAAATGCCCTCCCGAAGCTGATGCCCGGTGATGATATCGCTGATAGCATTGCGCAGGCCAGTGAACAGCCGTACTTCATTCCAGACAAGGTGTCAGAAACGACGTCTGACAAGTGGGGGCATCACATTTTGTGGCATATGGACCTATTCGAGCCATGCATTGTATAGGGGAAGTGGATGATGGCAGTCCATCTAACAAAAGGATGGAAAGTCAGAGCCAGACTGGATRAAGCCYCGTGGCTGAAATTGGCGAAGAGCGAAATCGTATTTCGTGTTAGGAAAGAAAATGACGGAGCGGACGAAGCAGCTATTGAGGAAAAGGCTCGATTGCTATTCGAATGTCTTCACTCCAAAAACAGACTGGAATATAAACACGGATTCTATGACTTGGAATCAAGTCGGTCATACAAGAGCATCAACTGGAAGATCGATCTTCCCCAAGCTGGCCATAGCGTTGAGACAATCCGGTTGGGATGCTCACAGATTGGGGGGGAGTCGAACACGCAGTTTGCAACGAGTGTTGGGGAAACGATGAGTCAGACAGCCAACAAGATAATGGAGGCGATCGAGGTTCCACGGAATGTCGACAAAGTGGCATCGAACGTTACATCGTCCGGACCTCCTCTAATAACGCAGGCGGGAAACAAGTGTGCATCGCAGATGGCGAGCCCCACTCCTTCCGGGAGTGGGGCTGTTGCAAATGAAATGCAACAAGGTGGGTATGCACAACGTGCGAGTGAGGTGCAAAATGATTCCGATGAGATGATGAAACTGCTGTATGAGATAGAGAAGGAGGGGACGAGGAAGGTCGAGGGACTAACCACGTCGAAGTCGGTGATTAATTGCATTTCGTTGAGTGATGAAGGGATAGACGGAGTTGTGGAGGGGCGCGATGACAATGACGATGCGAGGGCAAAAGTCGATGAACAGCGGCAAGGGGATGACGAAGGACGACCTGCAAGATGGTCGACAAGAGAAGTAAAGAAAAAACATTCAATTAATGTGTAGATATGTGCAGAGGCTGAGTTCGGGTTGGCGTGACACTCGATTGATGTATGTGACAATGTGTACGTAACTCATATAAGTGTTTTCGGTTGGAGACGTGTGATATAATAATTGATTCCGCAGTGATTT